TCTTAATTAAATAAATTAAATACATGGCTCGTGTCGTCATCCGCGATGTGCGACCGTCCCATTACAATGTCTTGTCAGGGAATTATTATTTGTGACAATTCTGTGTTGCTGCAAGAAATAGAGGATTCCACAAACTTTATTGAAAACCATTTGAAGTCTTTCTAATCGCAAATAGTATTCATCAAGATAAATAAACGGGAAGTATCTGTTTGTGATTTTCGAATTTTTAACTTTTAAACAAATGTTCACACTTCTTATTGGATTTGTAAAACGTATGAACCATCAAATCAATTGTCTTTTGCCGCTGGTGACTATTAAAGAAATGCCAATTCTCTGTATAACACTGGTGGCCGAAGTGGTTAAATTACTTCTAGGCTGTCCGGATGACGCCGCGTCGTTGGCAGATAGGCGGACGTTTCGCCTGTTATGTCGCAGGCTTCTTCCGGGTACTGACCAAAGTGGTTAAATGATTAGTATGGTCTCAGCGTGGGCCGCTGTTTCGACATCGGTTCAGGGATAATTATTTGTTACAATTCTGTTGCTTTTTACCAGCAAACATTATTTACCGCGTCGAGTTATGCCTGCTGAGCTGCAATCTTTTTCTGCCCCAAGGATGTTTATTTTACATTTTGTTAATTTTTCCTCTGCCTAATACTGCAATTGAAACTCGACGCTCTTATGACTATAATAGGAGTGCCTAATCCCTGTGCGATCCCGGTGGCGGAGGTTGGTTAAATGATTAAATGTGTTTTTTGTTTTTTTTTTTGTCTGTGCTTCAGAGGCAAGGTCGGCTTTTTGGAGCCTTGTTCAGATATAGTTATTTGCCGAACAAAACTACTGAACTACTGGTTGAAAATTATTTGAAGTGTGTATGTCATTTTCGAATTTGCAACTTTTAACCCTCTTCTCTTTTTACATTTTGTCAGCTCCGTAATCTAGAAGTGAAACAGTTTGTCTTGAGTAATATGAAAGTGTGTCAGTCTTGTGCTTCTGGAGGGCCGAGGTTGTGAAGTGGCATGTTCGGATTTATCATTTGAAACCAAGAGGTCGCCGATTCGAGTCCCACACCGAGTTTGCAATTCGATGAAAGTGTTTTTGTAGAAAACTATTAGTGATTCAAGACCCTTTTGAATGAATAGCTTTTGAAGCATTTCTACCCACAAATGCAATAATTACATTTACCAATAAACCGGACGTCTCTATACTTGCTTTACCGTATGTCCCTTCAAATCAATTGTTGAATTTCTGTGCACCTGTATGAACCAATTTAAGAAATTAACATATTGACATGAAATTTAAATACATTATGAACACTAGCCATGTGTCCAACTTAGATATCACTAACGGTTCAGAAATTATTATTATTACTTCCTCGCCTTACCAATTCTGTGTGAAAAGAGAAAGTTATGTAATCTTGCGCCAGAAAACGCCGAAATTTCGCCAGAATAAACCTCATTGCCGGGTTCTCGTAATGAAAAAGGGGATCAATCCTTTTGCTAAATTTAGAAAAAACATCCCGAACTCGTGGTGTAACCAGAATCCATATGTTGTTCGTTCTTGATATCAAAAAATCGATTGATGGCAAAATGTCTGTCCGACTGTGAGTAACGCTAGCACCTAAACTGTTCAGCTTATTTTCTTTAAAATTGATATATCCCATTGATCTTAACGGACTGGAGACTTTGGGAGCTTCTAATGAATCTTTTGATGTTTTTCTACCATTGTCAGTGTACGGGCATGCGGTGCTTCTGTGGCGTAGTGGGATGAGTCACCTCTGAGGATCTGATTTCCAATCTCGGAGCGGAAAAATATTTACGTAATTGACAACACTTTTGCTCGTTTGCGGAGCTTTTAGAAACAATGCGAGAAAGTATGTGCTTTGGCACCATGATTGGTTTTTTAATATCTTAATTTGTTCAGTATTCAAATTACAATAGGTTGCAGTATTGTTTCAATTTTTTTCATTATTTATCTTCCCAATAAACATAAAACGGAAAACTACGAATAATAATAAAACAAAACCTAATTTTAGGAAAATAAATAAACTATTACATTACTGTTTTATTTATATTCGGCTGTCGGGTGTAAATTATGAGATAAAAGGCTGAAATTTTGGGAAACTGGAAATTTACAAGGGTACAATTTGTATTTAGTCCCTTTTAGGTTGTCAGAACATGAGATATTTTTATGAAACGAAGGAATATAGTTTTTTTTGCTATTTTCCCTTTTTTGTTAATTGTAAGGGTCAAAATCTTACATAAACTCCTAAAAAAATGTTCAAACATCTTTAATTATCCTTGTGGTTTTCTATAGATGGTAAAGTCAATATTCAAATTAAACTAGTTTTTCCTTGCCTGTACTCACTTTTGTACGTTAGTGCAGACTTTTTTGTAAATTGTCCAGCTATAGTATTTGGCTTTCGTATTTTTCAGACAATGCAAAAGTGGTTTGATGTTGAAATAATGCAGAGCATCAAACGAGACAAAGAAGATGACTGTCTGTGGCAGGTGGCAAATGGATATATAATACTGAAACGAGTAAGTTATAAATGGACATTAAAGTTTTTAGAATATATTTTATTTTCCAGTAAAAATATTTGTGACATTTAGTGATATATTACTTACAGATAAACAATCATTTTTATTTTCATTAATGGTATTATTTTGTGGCAGGGTGATGAGAAGAATTGCTTTATGACTAAAGAAGAGGATACATTGAAGCAAGTCGAGGATGTGATTCGTACTGTGAAAGAGAAACCGGTTGTAAATCCTCTTCTTCTCTATGTAATTTCAAATATTCATCGAGAGTAAGTTGAATTGCTAATTTTTCTGTCAAGTTAGTAATTAGATAATGTAGTGTTAATACATCGAGTTCAGGGCTCCAGGCGTCAAACTTAAGTGCCTGTTACAATTGTGTCTAGTACTAAATCTTAGAATAGTGCTTATAGAATAGGATTGTAATTGAGAAAAGGAAAGAAAGGTACAATAATGCAAATAATATGGATATACAGCACCATTGTGCTATTGCAATTTTCAGTAATTTGACTACCAATGTACAACTTCTAACAATCTTAATTACTTACATTTGCTCAAAGAATTGGTAGTCTCGACCGGGACTCGAATCCGGGCCTTCTGGTTTACGCCCAGCTGCTCTAACCACTAAGCTACCGAGACAGCCAATTCTTTGAACAGTTTACGCGAGCGCGATTATCGCTCCGTGTATGTTCTATATAGAATTCTCACCATCCCGTCACCTTGTTGGAGGCAATTACGCTCGGAGAATATATTCCGCAATCGTAAAGAAATGGATTACAATTTGAAATTCTTTATGATTACAAACGTCTTAATTTGGATTTCTAAAATAAGGCCTGTCTAAAAAGAATCCGACCTCAAATTTTGTGAGTAGTGATTCTAAGGCGGCGCCACTGAGCACGGTGGAAGTAGGAGCCTTATTGCGCATGCTTGTGCCAGTCGCTGGCTGGTGGGCGCTAAGTAAGGAGCTGTTCGAAGTGTTCGTCGGATTTAGTTTTCTCGCAAGATGACTGAACGAATTGAGCAAAGATACAGTATCAGATTCTGTCAAAAGCATGGTGATTCTCTAAGCCAAACAAATCGTAAGATTCGGCAGGTGTTTGGAGAAGATGCGATGGGTGTAAAACAAATTAAGCAATGGTTCAACCGATTCAAAGATGGCCGCACATCAGCCGAGTGAGCAGCGTGCCGGCAGGCCCCAAACTGCCCGGATTCCAGCTGTTGTCGAGAAATTGCGAAATTTGGTGATGGGAGATCGCCGTTTGACAGTGCGGGGGATAGCAGAAGAGGTTGGAGTGAGTAAAGATTCTACACATGCAATTTTGTGTGAAGATTTGTACATGAAACGAGTGGCTGCTAAATTCGTACCCAAGTTGTTGTCTCCGGAACAAAAAGAACTCCGTTTTGACGTCGCACAGGACCTACTGGACACCGCCAATACTGATCCTGGGTTTCTGAACACTGTGATGACTGGAGAAAAGTCATGGGTGTACGGGTACGACCCAGAAACAAAAAGACAGTCGTCTCAATGGAAGCATCCCGATTTTCCCAGGCCGAAGAAAGCGCGGCAGGTGCGAAGCAAAGTCAAGGTGATGCTGACTGTTTTCTTCGAAGCATGTGGAGTTGTGCATCACGAATACGCGCCGGAAGGACAAACAGAGACAGAGGACGCAGTTCGGCGCAAAAGGCCAGACATGTGGACGGCGAAGAACTGGCACCTGCATCATGACAACGCCCCTGCCCATTCATCCCAATTGATCCACGCTTTCTAAGCCAAACATGGAATTACAACCGTTCGCCAACATCCCTACTCTCCAGTCGTAGCTCCTTGCGACTTTTGGCTGTTTCCAAAATTGAAGACACCTCTGAAATGATCCCGTTTTGAGAGTAGAGAAGAAATAATGCGCAACGCGACGACGGCGCCGAACCCCATTCCAAAATGGTCGGTGGGCTAAGTATGTGGACGCACAAGGGGCCTACTTTGAAGGGGATTAGGGTCTCAAATCAGTCAGATATTCGAAATATTTTTTCTGGTCAAAGGTGGGATACTTTTTAGACATTCTTCGTATTGTTTTGTTCATTCTTCTTCATTAATAGTGTTTAATGTACCCTTGCAATTGATGACTTTGTGACCTATATTGCATACAATAAACAAACTTCAGTGTTTGTTGTATTGTTTTAATTGATGGAATAAAATTAGAAATCACCTTTTTACCAAATGCTTCAATTATTTCGATTGAACCCCTGGCGCGGGGGCGGGCGCCTGCTCCTCTGGGCGCTCTCACTCCGTCAGCGGTCGGGGGCCGCATCGCGGCGCTTGTGGTGCGCCACCGGATGTCTTGGGCGGCTGTCCGGAAATATAGGGATAAAGTTGATTTATAAAAATGAGAGAGAAGAACGACTCTTTCATTATACTTGGGAGAGAATAATATTTCTATCTCGACTCCAGGTGAAAATAATTTTTCCAATAACTTTCCACACATTTCCCTTTCATTTGTTCCCCATTCTTTCTCCACAACAACAAATAAATATCCAATCCCATCCCTCCACGCTTGATAGTGTCATCTGATTATTTTCGTTTGTTCTCACATTTCACGTATCAGATCATATAATTTAAAGTAAATAAGCACTTACGTATTGGCTTTCTACGTATAATTACGCGTGTCCTATTGTATATAATATACTTGTTTTTCAGAGAACCTTAAAGTGCGAGAAAGTGTGTGTTGCTGCCAATCGCGTAATTTCTGCTTGAAGTCAATACAATTTATTTCCTTATCTCTAAAACCCCTCCAATTTTCCCCCGCGAATAGAGCAAAGGGCGCTGGAAAGAAATAGGTGTAGATCTCACTCTCGAGAAGTCTCTGAATTGCCAAAAATTGCTGAAGTTAGAAATAATGCGAGAAAAATGTCCGCGCTGTTTGAGGGCCTCTAGCTTACCGTAAAGGCCCATTCACAATGCAATCATAAACATAATCATGGCGTTATCATAAAAGTTAGAACTACGTCCATAAGCGGACTCATTCACGATGCGTTCGCATAAGCATAACACGTAAGACGTTAACTTAAACGCTTGCAAGCTTCTGTGCTTATGCTTAAGTAAGACATAAGTAATGAACCAATCACAGTATGCTAACTCAAAATCGAGAATTGAAAGAGGACCCAACTCGCTTTGCAGCGCAGTTGTGTGTGGCCGCGGTGTGCAATGCCGCCATACTTCCCTGCTATGAAGCCATTCCTATCCTTTCGGACATCTATGGATGATCTGTAAAATAGAAAAAAGAACAAGGTCAGGAAAGGCAATAGCCGTTCGGCGCGCTTGTGGCGTTGGTCATGCAAGTATTGGCGTTCCGCCTACTGCAGCGTATCTCTCGGGCGCTTGTACGTGGCCCTGGGATTTGGCTCGTACAAATTTAAATTTTTAATAAGGTCATTATTTGACGCGTTAATTTTGGAAAAGAAGTCAATAGCTAAATTTTTAAAATGCTCTTCGAGGAGTGGTAGTTTTTTGTTGATAATATTGTTAATATCGAGTGTAATTCTGAGACTGATATAAATTGGCGCGCACAGTATGCTACGAAGGCACACATTTTGCACTATTTGCAACTTATTGAAGTGCGCGTGAGCCGCTATTCCCCAACTTGGGCAGGCGTAGTCCATAATGGGCCTAATCATGGCTTCATAGATCAGTGGACAGTTTGCTTCGCGTATGTAATACGCTTCGCAACATGCCCAGGCGGTGCCATGCTTTGCTCGCAACCGCGTCCGCGTGCTCGCCGAAAGTTAAAGCGCGGTCGAGCGTGATGCCGAGGTACTTCGTACTGGCGCGCCATTCAATGTTTGAATGCTTTGCGAAGTCGCTAGATACCTCGAAATCGATTCTCACATTCAAACAATAGTGAACTAGAATGTCTCACAGCCAGTAGAAACTCGTATTTTGCTTACGTTTATGTTAGACATTGTGAATACTTCAGTTCCTCTTATGTTAATGTTTACGTCTATGCGTTATGCTTGTTTACATTTCCTTGGTGAATGGGCCTTTATTGGTAGCGGAGCGAGTCGGGGGTGTGGCCAGTACGAGCAGAAATGTTTTGCGCATCTCACAAACGTCGGCGAACTTGTGCTGGGCTGAATGATCATTCCGTCATCTGGAGGAAAGTTCGCGCGAAGTGAACCCATTTATGTTGCTAGAATCCAAAAAAAGTTAACCAACACTTTAAAACTTCTTAAAGAAGTAATAGTTGCAAGCGTAAGTCTGCTTAAAATGGATTCTTGCGTGATGAAAGTAAACAACTCTGAGCGGGCTCTGTGGCCTGTCCCACGGCATCCGTTCGATGACTTAATTCTCGCACATTATTCATTTTCTCATCCGTTTTTCGACATAATTTGTATCAATTTTTGTTATTATTGTTGTTATTATTATTATTATAGTTATTATTGTTATGATTATTATTAGAGCCAATTTCAGAAAAATATAAATCACTTCTGAATCCTACCACTGATCTCCAACTGCACGCGCTGGGCTGACACTGAGGGAGGCACTATGTTCATTTGGTTAGCCGAAAGAAGCATTTGGCAGAGCGATGCTAAATTGTCTACTGGTCGTTTAAACCAAACGTATAGTGAAATTAGATTAGGTTGTATTTTTAAATAGAAATTTTCGACTGACAGTTGAGGTCGTAACTACATACCTTGGCGCCTACTGGCCTTGGAAACATCTCACCAGATGTCTAAACACGTATTTCTTACACAATTTGCAATTATTAATAATGATACTAATAATGCAATATATATTTAAACAAGTTATGCAATTATACCATCCGTTTTCTTCAACTTATGAATAACTTGTTTGTCAGAAGTTACAATTATTTTATAATAGCGATTATTTATAATTTACATATAAACTCCAGAAATCTTAGCAAGAAGCCACAAGAAATCACAAACATTCAGCAGCTACAATGTAACTTTTTAATATTATTGCACAACTGCAGTTGTGTTTGTTATTCTTTAGAAATTTTTATTAAGATTAGGAAAATGAATGGAGAGAGAACTTCGCATTCAATACAGGATTAAACGTTGAAAATATCTATGCTTAGCAAATTCTCTATAACAAATATCAGTGTTACGTTGAAAATAAATGTATTTTTCGTTAGACAAAATATCAGGAACGAATTTTGCAAGTTAGTATGCCAACCTCAATTTTATTAGCTGTCTCTCTTTTTTTTAACAGAGATAAAATTTCATTCCATATGCATGCTTCCGCCAGCATCTCTGGGGT